TATGGAAAGAGTCCTATGACTTTACATGTTACATGAAACATTCAAAATTATATTCTGTTGGTTGGGCATTGAGAAATGTAACATGCATAAACAATGTTGGTTGCTTTGTTGTTGTTGTTGTTGTTGTTGTTGTTTTATAATTATTTTTTTTCATGCTTGTAAATACATATTCATTCTGTAAACTGTAGTCAAGAGTTTAGGTGGCATCAGGGGTCAGAATTAGTTTAAGTATCCTACTCCGCATCCCTGTGCCCTCTCATTAAACAGAGAGATCAAAATTGAATTGTGGTGCCTAGCACTGTTAGACTGAGAACAAGGTCTCATTGTTCATTTTATATCAGATTACAACAAATGTTTGTATGGTTTTAATAAAAAAAAATATATATAAATGCTTGCCTTTGCTTGTCTCTGAAATGTGCATTTTGTCAGGGTTCTGCCCTGGCAGCCTTGTCCTTGTCTCTGTTTCATGTCTCTATGTGTGTGTTGTGCTTGAACTTGTGGTTTTGTTTGTGTGTGCCATGTGCTTCTTTGTTCCTGCCTCCTTGTTTCCCTGTACCACGCCCTCTTGTCTAGTTGAGTCCTCTTTTGCCTGAGTGTCACCTGTTCCTCATGTTCTCTGCTCCCTTGTTTGGGTCCTCGTTTACCTGAGTGCGTACACCTGTTCCTCTTGTTCTAAGCTCCCTTTATATGTGTGCTCTTTCCCTCATGTGTTTGCCAGTTCGTTAAACGTTGTACTACTGTGTACTTCTGTGCAACATAGTGTTTCTTGTTTCTAGAGTTTTCTGTGATTTATTTGTAGAAGTACTTTGTGCCTTAGTTCTACCATCAGTCCTGTTTGTCTAATCTTCTGTGTCTCCAGTCCTGCTAGCAGAGCTCTCCTGGCAGCTAACACTCTAAGCTTTGGAGGAAGCCTGGTGTTGGGCCTGAGATTCCTGTGTGCCTTGCTGTTGCACTTGCAGTTTCCTGTCTGGTTACTGGTGGTAGCCTCAGGGCTCCTACTATTCTGCCATTGCTACTCTCCAGCCTACAGACACCTTGTGCAACTATCTACGGCAGCTCGGCTAGCTTCTACCCCTGTCTTTGTGTCATCCTTGCCCAGTGTCTGGACTGTTCACCTCTCCCACCACATCCTGTCATCTGTCTGCTGTTTGTCAATAAACCTGTTAATTCACATTCTGCATTTGAGTCCTCCTTCAGAGACCCGTGACAGAACGAACTGGCCAATTCAGGACTCAGCAGAATGAGCATCAAGATCCTGCCACCTGCTAACTTCCAGGAGAGGATGGCTCGTCATCATGGTCTAACTTCCCTTCGCCAGGATGGCTTTGAGGTTGGGGGTTTTGCTCAATTCTTCTGGACCATGTCTGTGGGGCTAGATTATAATGATGCTGCTCTCAAGGATATCTTTAACTCCTGCCTGGATGACCCCTTGCCTGCATGGGAGATGGATTCTCTCCGTATTTTGGATTTCTGGGGTTTCTCTCGGTACCTTGGTAGTCGCAGTAAGTGGGGAACGCCGCCAAGTCCACCAGAATCTGCTTTCAACAACCACCCTGCCCTTCCTCACCTGTCTCGTCACATTTATGATCCTCCTCTGGCTAGCACTAAGAGACTAAGACTCAGACGAAAGAGGGCAGGTCAGTCCACCACAGCTACCCCAGAGTCAGTCAAACCAATCACCATCATCTCTCAGGCATCCAGGTCAGTCCCAGTCACAGTAAGAACTGAGTCAATATCTGTTATTCAAGACACCGTCAAATCAACCGCTGTCTTCCCTCAGACTATTACGTCAGTTCCAGCCATCTCTGAGTCTGCCGATTTAACCTCCGTTTTCCCTCTAACAACCCAGAGTTTCCCTGTTACTTCAGAGTCTGCCAGATCTGTTTCAGTCAGTGCTGATTCAATGAAGGTCACTGCTTTTCTGCCGGGGTTGGCCGAGTTAGCTGTTGATACTACAGAAGCAGCCCAGCAAGCAGTATCAGCTCGTCGAAAGAGGAAGAATAGGAGAAAGGCTAGCACTGAACAATCTATGTTTCTCCTTTCCCAAGCTCCAGTTCCAGTTGTTCCTGAGGTATCAAGTCCAGTGAATTCAATTTCTTCTAAACCTTTGAATAGTAATGCCATTCCCTCTAAGACAATCTCTGCCAGTCCTCTTATGTTGACTGAGCCCAGTCCCAAGATTCCTGTTGCCATTGCCGCAGAGGCCTTTTCTGAATGTTTGACAAGTCTTGTCAAGATTCTAGAAATTCCTGCCAAACCTGTCGTGTCAACCAGTTCTGAGTCCGCTTCAGAGAGGGCGGTCCCCGAGCAGTCCGCTTCAGAGAGGGCGGTCCCCGAGCAGTCCGCTTCAGAGAGGGCGGTCCCCGAGCCCTCCGCTTCAGGGAGGGCGGTCCCAGGACCCACTGCTGAGAGTAAAGTTACTAAGCCAACTTCAGAGAGAGCCGTTTCTGAGCCATCTTCAGAGGAAGCAGCTCCTGAGTCCGCTGCTCCAGAGAGTGCAGCCCAGGAGGGCGCTCCCGAGTCAGTCCCCGTGCTCGCCAGTGCAGCCCAGGAGGGCGCTCCCGAGTCAGTCCCCGTGCACGCCAGTGCAGCCCAGGAGGGCGCTCCCGAGTCAGTCCCCGTGCACGCCAGTGCAGCCCAGGAGGGCGCTCCCGAGTCAGTCCCCGTGCACGCCAGTGCAGCCCAGGAGGGCGCTCCCGAGTCAGTCCTCGTGCACGCCAGTGCAGCCCAGGAGGGCGCTCCCGAGTCAGTCCCCGTGCACGCCAGCGCAGCCCAGGAGGGCACTCCCGAGTCAGTCCCCGTGCTCGCCAGCGCAGCCCAGAAGGGCGCTCCCGAGTCAGTCCCCGTGCTCGCCAGCGCAGCACAGGAGGGCGCTCCCGAGTCCGTCCCCGTGCACGCCAGCGCCGCCCAGGAGGGCGCTCCTAAGTCAGTCCCTGTCCCTGATTTCAAGACGTTCACCAATCTTGCCATTCCTGTCTTTGCACCCAAGCCTGTCAAGCCCAGTTGGAAGTCCAGACCAGTTGGTTCAGTTCCGGTGTCCAAGAGTACCTCCGATCAAGTTCCCATTCCTCCCATCCCACCTTCTGCGTTTCCTGGTTATGGTTTCCCTAAGCCAACACCTCCATTGTCAGCCTTGAACTTTTTTCCCAGTTCTGTTCCCACCTGCCCCATCCCTCCCTCTGTTTTCCCTGGTCAGTTTGGGACTTCCATGTTTACACCCCCCCACCCCCCACCCCCCCAGCTGTTGCCTCCGTGGACTTCTATGCCTGTTTTGGACGCCTGGAGGCGTCCATTAGAGAGGGGGTACTGTCAGGGTTCTGCCCTGGCAGCCTTGTCCTTGTCTCTGTTTCATGTCTCTATGTGTGTGTTGTGCTTGAACTTGTGGTTTTGTTTGTGTGTGCCATGTGCTTCTTTGTTCCTGCCTCCTTGTTTCCCTGTACCACGCCCTCTTGTCTAGTTGAGTCCTCTTTTGCCTGAGTGTCACCTGTTCCTCATGTTCTCTGCTCCCTTGTTTGGGTCCTCGTTTACCTGAGTGCGTACACCTGTTCCTCTTGTTCTAAGCTCCCTTTATATGTGTGCTCTTTCCCTCATGTGTTTGCCAGTTCGTTAAACGTTGTACTACTGTGTACTTCTGTGCAACATAGTGTTTCTTGTTTCTAGAGTTTTCTGTGATTTATTTGTAGAAGTACTTTGTGCCTTAGTTCTACCATCAGTCCTGTTTGTCTAATCTTCTGTGTCTCCAGTCCTGCTAGCAGAGCTCTCCTGGCAGCTAACACTCTAAGCTTTGGAGGAAGCCTGGTGTTGGGCCTGAGATTCCTGTGTGCCTTGCTGTTGCACTTGCAGTTTCCTGTCTGGTTACTGGTGGTAGCCTCAGGGCTCCTACTATTCTGCCATTGCTACTCTCCAGCCTACAGACACCTTGTGCAACTATCTACGGCAGCTCGGCTAGCTTCTACCCCTGTCTTTGTGTCATCCTTGCCCAGTGTCTGGACTGTTCACCTCTCCCACCACATCCTGTCATCTGTCTGCTGTTTGTCAATAAACCTGTTAATTCACATTCTGCATTTGAGTCCTCCTTCAGAGACCCGTGACACATTTATGCTTATTATTATTATTTTTTTACTAGGACACAATTTGCTATTAATGTTTTAAAGTAGTTACAGTAAAACACAATATTAGTGAGGGATAGGCTACTAAACGGTGCTTAATTAGCTATTTAACATGGCTGTTCATAATGCAATATTATTTTCTCTGCCAATGAGTTAATGCTTCACATAAGTTCTTCATGTGCAGTGCAATAAAGTATCATTCTGACAAGATTCTTGATCAGACCTTAGGAAAGCTTTTTTTAAATGAAAAATCAAGATTTATATACATCTTTCATTCATAATCAGAAGCTGCAAATGCAAACGATAGGTACAACTGACATTGCAGAAGCAATTCATGTTGTTCTGAAAGTTAGGCTATGTTATTTTGCATAGTGCAACTGCTATTTCACACCACATAATTTAGTGTCAACGACATTAGTGACTTTTAAAACTAGGGTATATGTTACAGTAGCCTAAAAACACATTAAGCAAGCAGTTTGTACCCTGCAATGTCACACAAAGGAAAATTTGGCACACTACAGCTCCATAAATAAAAAAAAGTATATTGCATGTTTTGGACAAACAGCAACACTTGTGACATCAAGGGGGCAGAACAAACAGAAGATCTAACAAATCTATAAACCGGAGATTAATATTTTACACTATTTTTAATTAAAAACATTTTGTAGCCTCATATTAATTGATGCTACATGGAATATTTGTACTTTTTGTAACACAGCAGGACTATTTAAAAATTAAATAGCCTAGTAAAGCAACGGGTAAATATAGGCTATATATAAAATATAACCATATTTTCAAGAATACGTCATCTTATAAATCTATATAGATTATCTGCAGTTGTTAATGCAGACACTAGGGAGCACAAGCGCTCCTCGGCGCTCTGTTCCTCCTCAAAATCGCACTGCTGAAGAGGAACACAGCGGACCGCACCGCTGTTGAAACAAAATGGCCGATGTGGAAATGGATTTACAGAGCAAGAGGCTAAATAACGGGTAAGAGCACGTGCGTAGTTTAACCCCACAAACAACGCATTTTAGAGCCTATATGGGGGTGTTTAGGCAAAAGGGAGAGATTTTGTTTGTGATGTTTTTTTCTCATAGTGAACTATGAGGGTTTTGATATCTGTTTTCATATCCGGCTAGTGTTAGCATGCTAGTGCTAAATTCTCTCAAGCAGTCAGTTGTCAAGATTATTTTGTTAAAATTACTTCGGTTTGTTATGTGAAGTTCTCAGTTTTAAAAGCCTACCACATCCTACCACCTAGCTCTACCACGTCCTTTGAATTTAAATATTTCTATGGTTAGCTTATTTCGTAAGGTATCCTATCCGTAACGTTAGTTAGTCTGATACGATCAACCTGCTCCGTTTGTTAATTAGTTATCTCCGATTTTACAAAATGACTGTCAGTTAAACCATTAAAGTAGTCTAATTAATCATCAGTCCCTATCCCTAAGCACATTAATATACCTAAGTTATTTATAACTTATACATTTGGTGGTGAGTTGTATGCTCAGCATGGGTGTCCTTGTGAAGAGCACGATGTTGCCTTGACGAAACATAACAAAAACTCAGCATGTTATTTGGTACCGAAATATAATAAGCGCAACAAAAAAAGTGCATTTAAAGAGACATTGTTTAAAACGACTATTTCAAGGAAACCTGAAAACGTGCAGAAATTAACCTTGCTTCTTTTTAAATGTAATATTTACTGATTCTGCCTTTTAATTTGTTGTTCATATTTAAAGGTCAGAGGAGTTGGAGAGTCCAGAGAAGAGTGGGAATGAAGATGAAAATGGTGACATGTCTGGAGAGGATGAAGAGGAGTGTGAGGAGGACGTGGAGGTGAATGGAGAGAAGCAAGAAAGCGGTCCTAAACATCACAGCGGCAGCAAACACAAGAAAAAGAAACACAAGCACCGTAGCAAGCACAAAAAGCACAAACATGCGTCTGAGGAAGATAAGGAACGCAAACGAAAACATAGACACAAACATAAGAAGCACAGGCGCAAAGAAGAGCCGTCCTCCTTGCCCTCTGGAGCCATCAAGGAGAGGGCCGAAGATGGCTCCCCTTCACTGGGCAATGCAGCCCTGGATGACAAGGCGCTTCTTGAAGATCTGGAGAAACAAAGAGCACTGATTAAAGCTGAGCTGGACAGCCAGCTGATGGAGGGAAAAGTTCAGTCAGGAATGGGCCTAATTCTACAGGGTTACAATTCTGGCTCTGAAGAGGATGGAGAGGGGCAGAGAGCACGTAATGGGGAGCAACGGCAAAGAGGTAGTGGGGGCAAAACCCGCTCACCTAAAGACCAGATTAGCAGGGGGGGTAGATCCAGACGGGACTCAACAGACACCAACAAACCAAGCACGAAACGACGCAGTCGTTCCCGAGAGAGAGCCGGTAGGGATGCTAAGATTGAACGAACGACCAAAAGTGCGAAAGAGACCATTAAAGAACATAGCAAGTCCAAAGAGAAAAAACGCTCCCGGAGCAGGGACAAATCCAGGGAGCGTGGGAGAAGGTCCCAGTCCCCATCTACAAGGAGATCCTCTGCAGAGAGAAAAACAGACCAGAAGGGACATTCCGATCGACGTTCTCCTCCCCGTACAGAAGATAAGCGGGAACAAGTCAGGCAGAGATCAGGCTCACGAGGGCGCAAGAGCCGGTCGCAAGATAGACGATCTCGTTCTAAAGATGCCCGGGTGGGTCGATCGGAGGCTGACAGAGAAAAGAAGCCAGGAAAGTCTCCATCCAAAGACACCTCCTCTGGGAAAGAGAATCGTTCACCTCATTTACGCCGAGCTCTTAGCCCTCAACGCCGACGCAGTTCCTCCCCTCGCCACAGGGACCGCCAGTCCAACTCCGCTCCACAGCCCCCCTCAGGTTCTGTGGACCGGAGCTCCAAACTGAGCCACTCACCATCTAGGAACAGATCGCCAGCCACTCGAAGAGCACGAAGCCGCTCAAATGAGCGCCGGAGAGATTCCCCTTCCAGGTAAGCATCAGCACGCCTTCTATAAATGGGGAAATTATCCCTAAAAAATACTCGTGAGCGGCGCGCGCTGAATGAATAGCCGTTGAGCACTTTGTTAGCGTTTATTTAACGCATTCTATTTTATTTTAATCAGATATATACAAAATAAACATAATATTACAAAATTATATCTGCACAATAGCTGCATTTCCACTGCCGGGCTAGGGCTGGGCCAGAGCTAACAGTGAGCCGAGCCGAGCTATTGGCCTCGGGCCTCAAGCACCGGACTTGCGTTTCCACTGCCGGGCCAGTAGCCCCACAGCGCTGCCCCAAACCCCACCCAGACCAGTACAGGCGATTCTCCCATTTCAAGCAGCGATTTTTTTTATTTTTTTTTATTTATTTATTTTATTTTTTTTGCGCGATATAAAAAGTAGGGCTCCACGTTTTCAAGTTTTTCATTAACCGTTAACCGAGGCCCTTTTAATTTTTAACACCTTTAATAACTGGTTGGACCCCATTTGAAACGAAATTAATTATAGAAATAAAACGCAGTAAGTACGGAGCAGTTAAAGCCGCATTTCCATCACCCTTCAAACTTCAATTGAAAATAAGCACATTGGAAACACATATAATAATAATAACAATAATAATATTAATCATCATTATTGTAACATTTTTTTAGTCTGCATATGTAGAAGACTCCTTTATCCAAAAAAGGAACAAAGCACAAATAAACACAATATTTTTGACGCATATCCAGTGTGTGTTACACTGCAGTTCTTTCAGTGGAAACAACTTAAAATACTCTTTCATTTCTGGTCATACAGAAAATAATAATACATTATTCGCAAATACATTTATTTGCGTAAACTCACAATAACAAGAAAACGTTGTGCTTTGACAAACACGTGTGCTTCATGATCAGTGAACTTAAGCGCGAGAACTGAAACAGCCACCGCATTCGAATTTGTTTGTTTTAAATTGGACATTTAAAGCTTAGTCTACAGGGGTTATATCCTTTGTAGAATAAATCTTTAAATGTCCAATTTAAAACGAACAAATTCGAATCGAAAGCCAATATCTTCTGCCTATGTTATTATGTAGCTAATTAATTTCTCTCTAAATGTGCATCCGGAGATGGGGATATGTTTTTAGCCGAAAATGATTTAGAAAACAATAGTTTATTAATAAACAATCAATGCCTCATTATTTTATTATCAGGCACATTTAGCCTATTATAGCCTATAAATCACCTATAAATCCCATTTCTGTAGGCTGTGGTTATGGCTCTTCTCATTCAGCACTGCGGGTAAAATATCATTTCCAGGTTCTAATTTGGCCTCAGAAAACCAGTAAAATATATTATTATCATAAAATATATATATATATAAAATATATTTTTTTCATATTAATTTGTTAAATATTTTAAATGTTTAAAGGGGCAAAAAAAAATCAATCAAATATCTGAAAATTCGTCGATATGTAGCCTCTATATAGCCTATATATTTTTGCGCAGCATTTGGCATAGACCTACAGTTCATGAACATTTTGGTGTTCAACTTTGCATTTTACAAAATACAACAACCGTTCATTTTGCAATTAGGCTAACCGATTAAATAAGGGGAAATGAATGAACACAAAAGTATATCGCTTGGACATAATACGAGGCAGAGTTCTTTTTTAAAATTCATAAAAGATACAAGGAATAGCCTACTAGACAAAACCTCAAAGAAATGCCACAATCAAGACCTCGGAGCAGAAATGAGGGAGAACTCTGTCTCTTTCCCTGCCATTAATGCTTGGATAACACGCACGTCCATAAATATGCTAATAATAATGTCTAGTGCGGTGGCTGTGATAGACTACCAACGTCCGTTGCCATTATTTTTGGAATGACTTATCGCGAAAGAAAAAAAGATGTTTTAGTCGCATAACATCGTTAATGGAAACGCTGTCATTTCACTATATTTTTTTATTGACATTCAGAAAAAAACGCAAAAGTTTTGTGCAAATATGTATTGACGCCACTTAACCGGTTATGCAATTTTAAACATGGACACCCCTAATAAAAAGTGAAATGTGCATCTTGCTTCAGATCATAACGTTCCATAACACCGATAAACTCCGCCTTTTACCTTGAGCACGTCTCTAGCACGAGCTGGCCCGCTCTGGTCCAAGGTATTCGACGGGCCAGAAATCCTGGCCGTTGGCCCTGAGGAAGCCCCGCTCAAGCCCCAGAAGTGACAGTGGAAACGCGACTGGCCCTGGCACGCACTAGCGCGGCCCGGCCCTGGCCCGGCAGTGAAAACGCGGCTAATGACATGAATGCACAAGTGAACTTAAACTAAGTTACGTGCCATTCAAAATTACTCTGTTGTAGTAGACACGCTCTTCCTGGAACAATGTGCCATGGCATCTAAACCCAAATAATTCACAATGCTTTATTACAATATTGTTCTCTTTATAATCTTGTGTAATATGATAGTCCCAATAGTCATGCATTGTCGTTTGAGTCGTGATGAAGGTGTAAATAGTCCCAAACAACTCTGGTGTGTGTCATTCAGTGGGACAACACTTGTTCCGCGGGTGATCCTGCTTAATCGATGATCGATAAGTTTTATCAATTACATGTATTATCGACGATTAATTGATCGTCGATTAATTGTTGACATCCCTACTTCACGTAAGTTATTTTATGAAAAGCAATTCTGTTGCAATTGAGACAAACTACATATCCAGATTGTTCCACAAATGCGAAAATCGTGTAGACAGATCTTTTCCTTTTTTCATTTTTTTGTAATTTGAAGGCCTTTGAAGTAGCTAAAACAGATGGTGGCTATGTAGTTTTCTACTGCTTTACATTATGAAAACATTATGCTTTAAACATGAAAAATCTCTGCTGCAATAGTATTGTAGCACATGGGTTTCACAGACATCATCTTTGGATTTATTATAGTTCGTCACAGAGAAGGCTCACTCACAGCCCTGACTGAGGCACTTAAAAAGTTCTGATGCAAAATATTTGACACATTTTGTCTGATTTATTTTTTTTGTGTATCTTTAGGTTTGATATATAAAATAAAACAACGGTGTAAACGCTAAGCGAACAAGCTGTTTCCGTCACCTTGTTTTTATGCACATTTTGATGCATCATATCAGAAACGAGTGGTGGAAACGCCAGATTTTAGGGCAAAAGTTTTTATATTCGCTTGGTGGTTTTTGACTTGTGCGAAAAAGAGTTAATGCGATTTAAAGGAAACGCATTTAATGAGTAAACCCACATGACTAATCAAACAGCTTGATGTAAGCTTTTTTTTTTTTTTTGCGAAGTTGAAACGATTTGCTTCACAGAAACCAAGCTAGGTAAAAACAAGCACAGACTATGACACTAAATGTGTGTGTGTGTGTGTTTTATATATATATATATATATAATAGGGCTGGGTATCGATTCAGATGTTAAATTTCGATTCGATTTTGATTCGCTAGCTCACAATTCGATTTCGATTTTCGATTCCTGATTTGATTCTCGATTCAACTATAATGGATATAGATGTAATACAAATCCTATGTTTATAAAAAAAGAACGGTGGACACAAGTTTACTAGTGTTTAATTAATACAAAGAAATTAAGAGCCACAAACCTGTATATAAAACTCTTTATTTTACGTACACTACGCTAAATGCACAATGAATAGACAGGATTTTGATGCAAGATGCAAAATTGATGCTGAAAAGTCAGAACAGTCGCACGCCTTGATCAAACAGAATCAGGTTATTTTATTTTTAAGAAAGATATAGATAAATATATAAATATTTAGAAATTTTGTATTAAATTGATCTTACCTAAATGTCTGTTTTTACAATGGGGTCATTTTTAGAGTTTATGCACATGGAAGCTTGATTTCAATCTTTGAATTAAATTGAAAAAATAAATTTCAAATAAATACACAAATAAATACTATAGAATAAAGACACAAATAAAGAGACATAAAAATAAAGTTTTTTGGGTAGGTCAGAAAAACTACAGAAACTGAATAAAGCAATCCAATGTAAAATAACACTGAATCTTTCAGTCCTGACTGAATTAAATACATAAGCTATTAATTCTGATTGCTTACAATTAATGCTATATTATGTTGTTATGACAACAGAATTAATGAGAGTGCACAAATTCATTGCTGTCTCATTATAGTACTGTCTGTCACATGCGATTAATGCTAATTTAAGACACAGCCGACTGTCTTTAAGAGGTTACTCACTAGGCATGTGCCGGTATCAAATTTTCATGCTGCGGTTAATTGATTGAGCTTTTATCACGGTATGCGGTATTATCACGATATTTTAATGAAATTAATATTTTAATGCTCAAGGAAAACTAAAAAAAAAACAACTTGCATCAAAATGGGTAACTAAACCGAATTGTTTAAAGTTTAGTGACCACATGTTACAATGTTTATGGTACAATGACTGGAACGGGAACTGTTTGTATTATTCAATTAAATTCTTGGATTTGATTTCAGTCTTAATTCAATATTGACTCTTTTGGATAAATATTAGGTAGGCCCCAGTCTTTTAGTATTTCTCAAGAAAAAAAAATTCTCTCACATAATGCTGTAAACATACAGAGAGAAAATAAATATAATATTTAGCAAAATACTCTAGGGTTGTGCCGATAGACGATAGTATCGTGTATCGACGATAGTCTGACATATCGCCGATGGCAGATGCCTTTGACGATATCAATACGATAATTGTCTCGTTTTACCATAATGTATTAAATTATTATTATTAGGCCTATTATTATTATTATTATTATTATAAAGCTAGTATTGTTATTAAATGAATATTAGGAACTACAATTAATTTGCCTTGCCTAAATTTACAACATCACCTCATAACAATTGCAACAACACGCACTAATGAGGACTCCTCTAAGAGAATGTTTTTAAAACAGACTAAAAAACATCCCACATCAAAATATAATTGCAAGGTGATCCATTCACAAATTATCAAGTGTGCTCGTTTTAACAGACGCAAAATTCAATTTCCTACAGATCCAAGATGAAAACGGCATCGTTGTTCGTCAGTATTTGTTTTCGTAACACATTAACAAAACGTTTAATGACACCAACACTAAAAACAATACAATTACTAAATAGTATTAATAATAATATCACTAAAATAGTATTATTAGTTACCGTTATCATCGTCGTCTCTGAGGGAACGCGGCGTTAATGGAGATGGCGAAAGCAGTCCGTTTTTACTTTCACTTTCAGAGATTGAGCGCGTTTACATGCGACGACGTTCTTAACCTGATTATGTTGAATAAACTTGACAATGCATGTGGTCATGTAAACGTTTCCTTTATCAGAGTCAAGTCATAAGTATAAGTATAAACCGATCGACTCAGCTAGACGTTTGGCCCTTGCTCTTGTTTCTCCCGGCATTTAAAACACATTAGCCCGTGTACTTCGTGCTTACTGAAGTGCGCATGTGAAGTGCGCAGAGAGCGCACTGGTAGGGGGACACATATCGCAAACTCCGACTTTTTCTGACCCAAGAAATTATTAAAACGTGTTTTCATCTCGTGCAGAAATAGGCCCTAGTCAAAATGCTGCATGTAACGGCATGAAAATAGGCTAATGTGTCCGTAAATTTCCCGTTGACAAACAAAAGGATTAGGATCTCTTTTTTTTACCTCACTATACCAGGAAATAACCTGATCCTATTAATAAACACTCCACCTTTGCTAGCAAAATAGAAAAAAGATTCTCGTATATAAAACGAAGTAGGCTAATAAAACAAGCAAATTAATGAGTAGGCTGAATAATCAAGTTAATAATCAAATAAGTTAGCCCCGCCCCCTCACGATAATATCGTGTATCGCCGATCTCACAGGCTGACGATAGGACGATATGAAAATGGAGCATATCGCCCAACACTAAAATACTCCTTGCTAGTCTGTCAGTGTCCTCTTTGCTCTGTGATTTTTCTCTGTTGGAGAGCGTGTGAAAAGTGTCAAATGCATTAAGCGCCTTTCAGACAGGACGCGGAATGCGCAACGCTGGCCACTTGGTTCAACGTTGCCCGTCAGATACAACGTGATTTGCCATTTTACAAATAAAAAGTTGAACTATTTTGAACTTTAACCCCGGCGTGTGTTGGTCGATGCAGGTGGACGCAGCAGCAAAACATCCCTGTGTGTCGCGCGCGTATTCCACGTCCTGTCTGAATTGGCAGAGTTGGCAGCCCTGCGGGGATAAATCATCGTGAGCTTTCCGCCATGCTTCTACTCCATGTGAGGATTGTTTACATTAGACTAGTGCGCGCTGTCGCATGCACACAGTGCTTATACATGTGGGGATTATTTACATCAGAGTGCGTGCTTGTTTTGCGCAGCATATACGCAGTGTTTGAGCGGTTGATGGAAAATAAGCTAATGCACGCTCTAAAAGTCTAAATTCGAATCTATTATTTTTCACGGTATTTTGAAGAGCCCGCGATAACAATATTGTGCATATTCGTTACCGCGATTTATCACATCACCGAATACCACCACATGTCTATTACTCACCAAGACCAGGTTTTTGACATAATTTCGTGTGTTTTTTTACTGTTAAAGCGATATAATCCAGGAAAAAACTTTTCTTAGTGTCGAGCTGTTTGTGAGGCGGATTTAGGCTTTACTGTATGTGCGCACAGTGAAAGACATCTCTGAGAGTGGGTGAGCACGGGATGGTTTAAAATTGCTTGAATGTTTAAACTGGTAAAACTTAAAAAGAAGTGAAAATGATAAACGTTAGTTATGATGCAATGCTGGCCCGATTGTGCAAGTGAATATTCCTCATGTCCTGACGCTTGCCTAGTGCAGTAAGTGAAGACGCAGCACCCGCCCTGAATATAAAAAAAAAAACTATTCGTGGGCATTGAGAATCGATTTTGAATTGACCACATTTAAAAAAAAAAAACGATTAATCGAAAAATCCATTTTTTTTTTTTTGCCCAGCCCTAACATATAAGACAACTGAACTACAAGTGTGAACGCACCCTAAATCATTGCCTTTTGAAGTTTAATAATCATATTAGGTCTAATAGCTGTTTTTCCATTTCTAAATTGGAGATCTCTTAAAATAATTAAGATGTTTGAAAGACCATTTAAGACTGAGGTCTTCAACTTACTGTCCTGTAGAGTTTAGCTCCAACCCTTTTCAAACACACCTGAACCAGCTAATTATACTCTTCCAGAAGGTGTGGAAATCGACTATAATGTTGAAGCAGGTTGGAAATAAACTTTTCAGGACAGTGGGTGCAAAGAGCAAGGATGAATGCCTCTGCTTTAAGACATTTAAGTTTTTTTGCACTCATGCTCCTAAATGCGTTGTACAGTTTGTGCTGTATCTGTTCTTATGGTGCGGCTGTTCACACCAGACGTGAATAGAGTGTCTTGCGCTAGTGATTTCAATGTTAAGTCAATGCAAAGACGCGTTACGCGCATAAAAAAATTCCTGTGGCGTGCAGAAGCATAGAGCCTGTGTTTTTCCACGCGCGTAACATGACGCGAATATGCCTCATTTGCACGTTAAGTTCGCGCGAATGGTGTGAATTGAGCATCTGGCGCGTTACGCGCAAGTGCATTTTGTGCATTCACGCATTTGATGCGAATTCCCGTCTGCCGCCTGAGTTTAATTATCTGAACTTTGGCGTCAATTCACGCCGTGTTAACCAATCAGGAGCCTAGCTGCTTGCTGCTGTCACGTGGTGAAGTATCTGGATGCTTCAATAAATTTTGTAATATGACTAAAAGCCTGATGTGGTTCTAATGCACAACAAAGCAAATATTTATCACATAAAACTAGGGTTGGGTATCGAGAATCGAGTATCGATTGAAACCGAGACTAACTTTTAGTTTTTCCAGGAATCGTTCAAAAGTTAAAATTTCGATTCCTAGTTTCGATATTCACAGTCCGCCGAGCGGAAGAAGAAACCGCTGAACAACACCAACGAAGAAGCGGCTACCGGAAGTGTTGGCATAACCACGCGAGTCGAACATGAGTACCTTACGTCGGCGATCCAAAGTGTGGCTTCACTTTTCTAAAAATAACGAAATCTCGGCAAAATGCAAAATTTGTGACAAAAGGAGTATTTTTACAGAAGGAGTATTTCCTTCAGAAAGGATTATTTCCTTCAGAAAGGCCGTTGGTTAGCAAGGTTAGCTAAACTTTTTTGACCCTGCCTCTTAAAAGAATCGGAATCGAGAATCGTTAGGAACCGGAATCGAAACAAGGAATCGGAATCGGAATCGTTCAGATTCAAACGATACCCAACCCTACATAAAACTTGATTTCAGTAAATGAGACAATCATTTTGTATTGAATGCTATTTATTCCATATCTGATATATTATTATAATGTAAAGACAACCAAGATAATACAAGTTTGTGTCTGGACAGTGTTGTGTGTGTGTGAGGAAAAATATCACAGGACAGTTTTTAGGTTTTATATGTATGCTTATTACTCCTACTTACAGCCTATTATAAAATAACTTATCTGGCAAATGTTTCATGTCTCTTAGGAAGCGTCCTCGTGTGGATGGACTTGGGAGATCACGGGAAACCAGTCCAGCTCGGCGCAGAGTGAGCCGCTCACCACTCAGACGTAGGTCTGTATCACCACGCCGACAGTCTCGACCCTCCCCCAGAAGGCGAAGTCGATCCCCACTAAGACGCAGGTTAGACATTGAGAAATACTATATATAGTCCATTCTGGTAGTGCTGTAAGATAATTGTGTAATGTACTGTTCTGTTTTGGCAGGTCTGCTGATAGGGATCGGTTTTTCCGTTCCAGACTAAGACGATCAACCTCCAGAGATCGTGAGAGGAGGAGGAAGAGGCGGGGCCGAGATGAAGACAAGTTTAAAGGAAGTCTGTCAGAGGGTATGAAAGCAGACCAAGACTCCTCCTCTGAAGAAGTGTAAGTAATAGTATTACTTTCAAGGCATGTGAAAAAAAGTTGTAGGGTTGGGAATCGAAAATTGATTACAATTCTGGAATCGAAAACTTAAAGGCCCACTGAAGTGCCTTGAATCGTGCAGCTTTGTATGATGCGTTGATGAAATTTCCACTGAAACAGGAAACTAAGGTGGGACATTTAATGGTGCCCCCCCTTTTTTTTTAAATAGCCAATAGCCTTTAGTTTACCTCACAGGCTGCAAGCAGAGCGGTACAACAAAATGATTTAAAGGGATAGTTCACTTTGAAATTAATTTTTCATATGTTTTAGCTTACCTCAATGCATCCAAGATGTAGGTGTCTTTGTTTCCACAGTATTTTCAATTTTGACATTTTTAGTTGTCTGCCAGTCATATAATGCAGGTATAGGGGGTCCACCCTCGATTCACCTCAAAGAGCATGCACAGAGAAGTAAAAATTAAACATGATTTAATGACTTGTAAATGTAAGTACACATTGATGGCCTAAGACACGAAATGAACAGTTTGTGTGAGAAAACAAAGAGTATTTAAATCGTTTTTACCTCGTGTAATCACAGCCATTTCAAACCGATCTGACTGCACGGGCGCTTCGGTCTGCGCATGCGCCAGAAGTGATCTCTTGCGCGCCTACGTCACTCTTTGTTTATACAAAGATTTCAGAAGTTTTACCTTTCATTAAACATATTTAAATATACAGGAAATCGCAATGTAAGACGATTTCGGTATATCTAAATATTTTTAGTAAAACGTAAAACTTCCGAAATCTCAGTGTAAATATTGAGTGACGTACACACGCAAGCGATCACTTCTGGCGGAACTTTGAACATGATTCAGTTCGGTTCATTTGGACATTGCACAACTTATTCAAATCACTTGGACGTGACTGTGATTACACGAGGTCAAAACAATATAAATACTGTTTGTTTTCTCACACAAACCGCTCGTTTCGTGTCTTAGGCCATCAATGTGTACTTACATTTACCAGTCATTAAATCATGTTTTATTTTGACTTCTCTGTGCATGCTCTTTGAGGTGAATCGAGGGTGGACCCCCTATACCTGCTTTATATGACTGGCAGACAACACCGGTTTGAGTGAAAAATGTCAAAATTGAAAATACTGTGGAAACAAAGACGCCTACATCTTGGATGCCCTTGAGGTAAGCTAAAACATATGAAAAATTAATTTCAAAGTGAACTATCCCTTTAAGGTAGGGCTTACCGACGTTCACAGAAGGGTGTTAACAGTGAACGAATGCCTGGTAAAATCTAAGTAGATAAACATTTTATATTTGACATTAAAGGGCATATTGCAGGTTAGAGGACCCAACGAGTCAATGCATAGAAAAACAATGTAGGAACTAGATTTTCTTTAAAATATACTTATAAATACGCTACAGAAGCTTCTGGAGTCGTTTTTGTGAGAATTTTACTTCCGCGTCTGAAAATGGGGGTGACGGGCGTGTCTCACTGAGCGGGAGACTGGGGAGAGCGGACGATTCACACAACAGGAAAACAATGGATCGCATTGACATTTCAGATGCTGAGGAAATACTCGTATGACTGATCAAGCCATAAAGTTATGAGCCTGCTATGCTAAAAAGAGCAGGGACAGGCCAGGATAATGTCAGACAGAACGGTCAGAGACAAATTGAGTTGTGGTGTGAGGAGAAACTGGAGAACAGGACAGGTGCCTTTTAGGTGAGAGACGTGCAGATATACACGCTCGCTAATGATATACACTGTGCTCACAATACTGTACAGATTATTATGATCCTATAACAGGCCAGCAGACATTAGTATGTTTAGGGTAGATTTATACTATTAAATGTATAAAAACTTTTCTAGAATATATTTCTATTGTACTAAAAGCACTCAGGTAAAATTTTAATACATATTTTTCACCTGGGTTATAACCTAAACAGAAAATTAAAGATTTGAGTATTTAAACAACACATTTTGTTTTTCAATCACAAGTTGCCTCTATTTAGTGCATGACAAGACTACGTTACCTATATATCACACTATTTGATGCCATTGGTATAGTATACGACGATCAATAGTCTTGCTTCGGCATCTCATGTTGATCGCCGGGATGATAATCATTTGATCTGAAGTGAACGCTACACACGACTGCGTTTTCCGAAGCCAATGCGGAAGAGAAATCCCGTCTCTTCACCTGCACAAACCGCACCAGGAACGAAAGATATAGGCTATAGCACCATCCCTTTTCTTGTAATGGAAACTTGTGGACTCGACCTTGAAGTACTGACAGGCCTGAGTTTATGCAACCTCCACAAATACAATAATTTACCATGACGATGATAAATTAAAATGCAAAAAGTACCGAAAGCACACTGACAGACGACCGTACTCACTGAAAAAAAAGCCGTTTTTACTAGCAGTCCAAGAAACGCTCACTTTATCTACTAAATTAGTGCCCTTATGTTGTTTTTAAAACATTTTAAATCCTCCATTAAATTTTCATATGGTATTTTCATACAAGGTTATCTATTAATTTCGAATTTTTTTTTTTTTTTTTTTTTTTTACCTGCAATATGCTCTTTAACTGTTTTACAATAAAAATGTTCAACTACCGACAGTATCCTGCAACGTTAATTACGCAACTTTTTTTTTTTTTTTATTGTCTTTTTGATTTGGAAATATGCTTTAATTTCCTTGAATCATGTAGAGAAGAATGTATGCATGCATACTTAAAAGTAAAATATTATTTGAAAATAGTTTAAATTATTTAACTAATAAAATAAGCCTTTTATTATTTCACTTTTTTATTCCCTTAAATTGCTTTTATAATTCATTCCTTTAAATAAAAAAAACCATTTTTAGTTTGGGCTAAAGGGGCACTGACATTAGAACCGCCCCTGGGTTAAACTAATTGATAGCTGTCAAATTATATTAGTGTTTCCCATATATTGGTTCACAAGATCAACACTGCAAAACACAAATGGATTTTCTAAAAGGCTGTGAAAGCGCTGAATAAATATGAGCACTGCATATTACAATTGAATTGTTAGTGCCGATAATTTTCACATGAATGCATCCATAGATCCACAAATGTGGCCTGTGTACTTTCATGGTCTCCATGGGCCATTTTAGTGGAAATGAAGGACTAAGTTTTGAATGCTTATTTCTCATAAATGCTAATTTTGTCAATGGTTTGGAACACAACAGTTTATTCATAAGCTTAAAGCCTAACATATTCATATTAAAAGCTAAAAAACATTTATTTTGATTTCATGGGCCCTTTAAGGTCAGTATCAGATTAGAGTGTGACGAATGGATTTTCAAACCTCTCCCGTCCCACTCCCACAAAAAAAAAATCCTCTCTCCTCTCCCTCCAACTCCCGTTTTTTTTTTTTTTTTTTACCGGAATCTGTCAGTTACAGAAAAATAACTGTAAAACTGGGCAGTTTGGATGACACGCGCACTCTCGTTCGCTTTTCCTCTCTTCCTTGTGTGCGTGTGCGCATGCTAGGTAGTTTGAAGCACAATCTGTCTCGCGTGCGAGCTCGCTTTAGATTACGAGAGAATTTAACTAATTTGCGGCATAACTCAATCACGAGTGGCTCAACAGGTAGATTATATACATGTAGGTAGATATATAGAAAAACTCATCTTCCAGGCATTTAACCGGTTTTCGTTAACAAAATTAACACTGATTTGTACGCATTTTAAACCATTCAAGCACAAGAAGCAGTGAAGAGAACTCAATTAGTCTCACTCGCTGTTTTTCACGCTTGACACATCCACTGAACTCTGAAAGCCTCTTTTATAGTGCTCAATGCTGACTTGATTTCTCTTTCGTGTCTTGTGCTTGCCTTAAACAAACAAATACACACAACTATCAAAATATACTCTTAAAATGCATTAGGTTATGTCCTAAGTGAAGGCATACAGTTGAAAAGTGTAACAGTATATTGGATCTCTGCATTAGGTCTTAGTGACTGCAGGCTAATAAACCGGCTGCCGGCTATCATTACTGTTAATAAAAGAACAAGAAAATTACCCACTGATCTTGACTGAAAAACTTTTGTAACTTTAAAAAGCATTATTTTTTTTTTTTAAATTACTGACTCTTTTGATTAATTGAATGTCCTTGCTGAATAGAAGTATTAAAGATATTTAGATTGTCACAAACTATTTATTTTGGTAATCGAGTAATCGGTTGATTTATTGTTTTAACAATTAGTAATCAGAATTTAAAATTACTTGAAATGCACATAATAACAATGAGACTATTATAATGGGTTCAAATAAAGTATAAAAAGCAATTAATCATTTGGTGTTATTGAACAACACTGCTAAAATGGACTACAGTTGAAAATTAGCCTGCTGGCTAACATTGGCACATTAACAGATGTTAATTAATGTGCACTGTCCTAAAATAAATAAATTAAATTAAATGCATAATGTAATATTCAATACATTATAATTAACGATCAACCTATGTATATTATGTATTATAACAATTGCCTGCAGAGGGCGCCAACAGACTAGTGATTGTTGTTGGCACGCTTGAATGATCAGATCCTTGTTTATTATTGTCAAACATTTCATTCAAATGTCCGCTTAATATTTAATATTGGTCCTTTTTTACGATGGAAATACTACAGCCACTGTAATTTCTTGAACTAGAAGAATATGTGGACATTAAAGCATGCAAACTCGGTGACGGTTTAAAGTTTTAATTGCAATGCACAGTTTTCATATTTAGGAAGATATTGATGTATTCTCCTCTGTTGGCTGAGGTTTGTAATTGATTTACCTTACAATTCTGATGAAATGGGGCAAATTGCATTCCAAGATTAACGTTATTTAAGCAAGTCACTCAGAGCATATGCAGAGATGAGACGAGCTAACAAATCTGGTGCATTTTGAGAGCAAAATTAAGTTGACTAGATCAATGAAGAAATTTGTTTCGAGTCACGGTATAGAATAACACTACAACTAATGCAACTCAACCAGGCCTCGCCCCTTTTTTTGCATGTGCCTTGGGCGGGAATTATTTAACAAAGGAATTTTGTGATGTGTACATTCATGGAGGAAAACATCCAGACTACAATCCTATGTAGGTTTGTAACCAGCAGGCTTTTTTCATGCGCAAATAGCAGTATTATGCATTAAAGAAAATGTAAAAAAAACAAAAAAAAAACACAAGGTCTTTTTTTAAACGGCACAACAGTTTTCAACATTAATAAAATGTTTCTTGAGCACCAAATCAGCATATTAGAATGATTCCTGAAGGATCATGTGACAAAGACTGCTGAAAATTCACCTTTGCAATCACAAAAATATATAAATTTAAAATTCATCAAAATAAAAAAGCTGTTTTAAATTAACAATATTTCTGTTTTTATTTTCATTTTCTGTTTAAAATGCATCCTTGGTAACACAATAGTGGTAGTGAATGTTCTATAGCAATTGTTCTGTAGTATTGCAATTGTTTATTTGACTATCGGTATTTGTATTGTATCAATCTTTTTTGACATGATTATTTAATTATTTTTTAAGTGTGCAGCAGTGATCTACACTGTCATTGAGTCATCTTGTTTACATGGTAATATTAAAGTTGCTTGGATGTAAATGTTTAGGTTGGAAGATTTTGATGCAGAAGAGGAGGATGAAGAGGCTCTAATTGAGCAGCGACGACAACAGCGGCTTGCAATCGTACAGGTAACACAATACAACAGTCATCCTGAGCCACAGTAACTTCCTTATATTGAGATATAATTTTGTATTTTAAAACTCTTCTGTTTTGATATAGAAATATAAAATGGTAAATGAGGACAGTAATATGGGCTCCATGGCGTCAGAACCCAGCAGTCCTCAGAGTAGCACCCGCAGCCGTTCACCTTCCCCTGATGACATCCTGGAACGGGTAGCGGCTGACGTGAAGGAATATGAGCGGGAGAATGTGAACACTTTTGAGGCCAGCATCAAGGCCAAGCACAACCTCATCGCTCAGGAGAAAGAAGGTGGTGTACTCTGGCTGAAGTTGGCACATTAGAAGGATTCTTGCTGTTTTCAGGAAATATTTCAGATTCTAGAGATAATTTTTAATCTAGGTGGTCTTTCTCATAATGACACAAAGTATCTATAAGCTAATGCATGACTAACTATTTATTGTATTTTATGCAGGAGCCAACCCAAAGAAGCCCTCTGCGCCTGACATGTTTACCGAGTCAGATGACATGTTTGCTGCAGATTTTGATGTAAACTTGTTTGATTTTTTTTTTTTTCATTAAAATTGTTTGCCGAATTGCCGGCATTAGGTTAAACCATTTACCAGTTGGTTACTTTAAGAGATCTGACTTCTGTGTCTCTCCCATCCACAGAGTGCCAGACTCAGGGCTGCAGGCATTGGAAAAGACTTTAAGGAGAACCCCAACCTCAGGGACAACTGGACTGATGCAGAGGGATACTACCGTAAGCCTTATTTAAGTCTTTAAATGCTTTAAAGCTTTGCTTCTTTGACAAAGAAAACGTATTTTAAATGCAAGAAGGAATCATTAAAAACAACTCTTTTAAGGTGTGAACATTGGTGAGATACTGGAAAAGCGGTATGAAGTGTATGGGTACACTGGACAGGGTGTGTTCAGTAACGTCGTCAGAGCTAGAGACACTGCCCGGGCTGGCCAGGAGGTGGCAGTCAAGATCATCCGAAACAATGAGCTCATGTAAGTAAACAATGACCATCTCTGTGACTTTGCTTTTGTGTTCTTTTATATTTTAACTAGGACTGTCGATTTAACACGTCAATTTTGACACCATCAGCCTGGCCCACTCCAGCCCATTGCATCCAGTTTAGTTACAAACATGATGCAGGGCAATGACGACTGCATGATGAAGTCTATTAGAATGCATAAATAATACCTCTAAAAATCAAGATATGAGGGCAAAATATATATTTATTTTATTTAGATTTATTTTAATTATATTTGCATATAAAAATACAGTATAATGTCTATAATGTCCCCAATTTCAAATATTATCTGGTTTATTGATCTGTTATCAATAAGTTAATATTGTGCAACAATATTAAATCCAGTGTGGAATTTTTCTACAATATTCACTCATAACAGTAAAATAAGGCATTCTAAGTTAACTTACTGCAGTATTTCCTCTCTCAGTCAGTAGAAAATGTGGTTACCTCCAGTCAAGCTTGGAGGGAAAAAAATACACTGTTATATGCAGTATAACCGGTATAATTTTGAAAAATACCGTGATATACATTTTTGGTCATACAGGCCAGCACTAGTATCATTCCAATTAACTGATGTGTCACAAAAGCTTTCATTTAAAAAAATGTATCACTTAAACTTAACATTTAGGTTAAAATGAAAGCTTTTATGTAATTTTTTTGTTTAGTTCAGTCAGTGTAGCCCTGGCTCAGAAAATAGTTTGTATTCAATAGTTTAATTTTTTGTCTGATTGCAGGCAGAAGACGGGACTGAAGGAACTTGAGTTTCTGAAGAAGCTGAATGATGCAGATCCTGACGATAAATTTCATTGTTTGCGTCTCTTCAGACACTTTTACCACAAACAGCATCTCTGTTTGGTGTTTGAACCTCTCAGGTACTTATTCTGTGTGTGTGTTTGGGGGGGAGAGTGTTGGCACTGAAATTGACAAATCTATGTGAGCCTCCTAAATACGTCACATTAGAAAATGGGTAAGGATGCAGTATAGTAATTGATTTTTATTTAATATTTGAACTTTATTCAACAAATTCTGAAAAATTACAAAATCTGAAAGAAAAAAAAAAGAATAATACTGGTTTCCACAGAAATAATAAAGGTGCCCTATAATGTGAAATTGAATTTATGTTGGCATAGTTAAATAACAAGAGTTCAATACATGGACATGACATACAGTGAGTCTCAAACATCATTGTTTTCTCCTTCTTACTTAAATCTCGTTTTTGAAAAACACCCCTGAAAAACAGGCGAATCTCCACATAATACCGACTCTGACGTAAAAGTCGGGATCATTAATATGTATGACCCAAAATATTTGCATATGCCAGCCCATGTTCAGTGACAGACGAGACGGAGCTGCGCAGCCGAAGCATGGCCGTTGATCAGTGTTTGGATGTACACATGAACACAAAAGTATTTTTAGTTCCTTTATCCGAGCCTCTGAAGAAACAATGGGTTAATTTTATTTTCTCTGGATATTTCCAAACATTTCACCGACGACTGTTTCCTCAACTTCCCAAGAGCTGGCCTCGGACCGAGCTGATGTGTTATTGTTGTTCAAGTTCAGACGGGTAAAGTTAAAGTTAATCTTTCACTCAAAATCGTTCAATACTGTTTATGCATCAGTAAGTCAAGCCAGGGACTTCACATCGTTTCTTTTAGTAGGATGAAAAAATAATAATAATAATTGTGAATAAATTGTATACAGAAAGCGATCAATATCTTTCCACACAGCGCGAGTTTATCTGGACACTTCCAAACTCGTTATGAATTCAATGGTGCACGTTACGATGCACAACGAAGCTCTTGCTGTATTTACATGATCGTGTCTGCATTAGTGAAAGCAGAGAAGGCAGAAATTGCGTTGCAATGATAAGAGCTTCATCCTCGCGATCGACAGGCTGTCTGTCCTCTGCTTGCTCAATACTCAACACAGCAACATTTTATGTGATGGGAATAGATCTAAATACTTCAAAAACGTCTCACGATTCGTTAATCTCAATAGCTGTAATAGAAAAAAAACTATAATAGCTGGAGTAAAAATATTTGAAACAGTTTCACATGTAATACTTAGCTATTTTATAAGCAAGCATATCAGCCAATCACAGCTGAGGCCGGTTACACACAGCAGACACGCCCCTTCAAACAGAGTGTTCAGATCAGAGGCTAAAATCAGGCTAGGAAAAATGCCTTTTATTTCTAAATTATGACTATTTTTGATCTAAAAAACATACTAACATTATAAGGGCAACCCAGGAAACATTATAAAATAATTTAAAAAACCAGTATAGGGCACCTTTTAAGCAGAACGTAAGTTATGACTATAACTATGGATCTATGAGACCGAACGATGACCGTCACCACGGTCTTACGTTGGTCTTGAATGACGCCATTCTACTAGCTCTCCTCGAGACCTAATGTAAACAATGTCAGATGACTGACCCCAAGTGGTTGGTTCCCTATAACGGGTTCTCAAACATTTTGGTGCCAGGGACCCCTTTCAGGGGAAAAAAAATTCCAAGGACCCCCCTCATATTTTTAACAGTTATTGAGCACAAAGTTAATGTGTGAGCGGCAAATGAAATATTTTTGCACAAAATGAATGGTCTCCACCCAGGGTACTATGCAGGAATTTCTAAATAGCCTACTGAGGTAACGAAAGTGATCTTGCTAGGAATCACTTAGTTAGGATCCCTCACTTAGGAATTTTTGATGTTCTTGATCTACACATGTGCATTTTAAGGTGTTTTAAGGCCCCACAATTGGATAACTATAGATTTAGTAGAAGCATGTCAGTCAGTGGCATACATTTTTTTTTTTGTCAAGATGTCACGAAACACAATCACATATTCCAATCAGGAATGGCCTTAAAAGAGAAATGTTTCAATAATTAGGCCTATTCTGCACACAAATAATGCCCATAAGCCTATAAATACAATGATAATGGCATTATGTTTAATAGGTGCGTGCGTTGTTAATTTGAGCTACTGTAATTAGCTAAAAAAAACATACAGTATATGTTAAATATATGAATCCATAATGTTAATCTCATGGGCACAGTATGTTTCTATTGACCTGCTTTTTCCTTTGTTAAAGTTGAGCTTGATTAATACTTTGGAAACTGATTGTTTCAGTCGTTTTTTAAAACTTTTATCTAAAACAGCTGTTTAGTTTATGTTAATTAAGGCCTACATCTTATCTCGCACTTTATGACCGTTGACTGAAACGTCGTGCGGGGAACTTTGAGTTCACTCCGACTCAAACATTTTGACATTGACGAGCTATCGTTGTTAGTCTGCTGAAGCACCTCAGACGAGAAGGTCAGTATCATCGCGATGTGCATCCTTGCAACCTCAGTTGTGGGTACGGCCCTGTCACTATGCACTTTTATTTTGATAATGATCAGACTTCTAATGTCAAATCTACAGTAGCAGTGCTAGAACTGACTATTGTGCGCGCACGCGAGACGCCGGCTCACAATTACATGGGAATTTTTCCTCAGCAGTGGAAACAGGAATACTCTTATTTATGGTCCTAGATAAGACAAGAGTGCATCATCCGAAACGGTAAAGTGTCCATTTTTTATTTGTGTATAGGCTACATTATAAATGACTACAAAATGTCATGCCTTTTAAAAATACAGAAAAGAACCGGATGCAAGTTCATGCCGTCTCTCTGTCTCCTTTCTGGCACGTCCCGCAAAATCAACAGCAGCGAATCTACTTGACGCAAAGACATAGATTATCTATCTATAGAAAACTTTAAGTGTCTACTTTGTATTGTTTTATGTTAAATGCTTTATATAAGTTACTTAGGAATAAACAGCATGTTTTCAGATGATAAAGAAAACATGACTCATAGCATGGAAAAAAACGTTAGGTTGTAAATTATTTCGCGGACCCCCTGGGTTTAGCTCGCGGACCACCAGGGGTCCGCGGACCCCACTTTGAGAACCACTGCCCTATAAAACATCCGGATGAACCGAACACTTCCTCTTTGCCTGGAACGTCTCAGTTCATCCCGAGTGACAAGAAATGGTGACGGTCATCGTTCGGTCTCATAGATCCATAGTTATAGTCATAACTTACGATCTATTTCGACCTCACTCAGACCGTCACCACGGTCTTACCTTGGATGACTAGTGCCATCAAGGTCACGAGGGATGGAAGTCTCACCTTCTTTACATCCCTGCTTAGCGGCCGAAAGCAGAATTGTGGACCCAAGCGTCTGTGGGTCCGCCACATTGACCCTGTAATACCCGGCAAAGGTACAAGGTGAACTCCATGATGCGGCTGCACATATGTCTGTTAGTGCTACCCCCTTCAGTGCTGCCCATGATGTGGCCAGGCTCCTGGTAGAATGAGCTACCAGGTTCCCTGGAACTGGTAAACTCTTACTGGAGTATGCGTAAGCAATCATGTCTACTATCCAATGAGATAGACGCTGTTTCGAGGCTGGTTTTCCATCACTTTTCTTATCAAAACACAGAAACAGCTGAGTGTGCGAATGTCGTAACGACTATGTGCGCTCAATGTATGTGCGAAGTGCTCGAACTGGACATAAGGTAGTAAGATCCAACTCTGTACAGGAGAGATCAGGATCAGGTTGAAATGCTGCAAGTTCAATTACTTGATTGATCGAGCCAGTATTAAGAACTTTAGGTAAAAAAGCAGGGTTCGGCCAAAGAGAGACCCCTGAATAGTCTGCTTTCCACCTTAGACAGTCCTCACTTACTGTTAGAGAATGTATCTCACCCACTCTTTTTGCTGAACAGATAGCAAGAAGGAAAACTGTTTTCCATGTTAACGATTTAAGATCCGCTTGGGCCAATGGTTCAAACGGGGCTCTAGTCAGTGATTGTAGAACCATGGGAAGATCCCAAGATGGTGATCTAAGTCTTTTTTCTGGATAGAGGCGACGTGCCCCTTTGAGAAATTGAGTAACCAACATGTGTTTACCAATGGACAAGTCTTTCACCAAACTGTGAAAATGAGAAATGGCCGCTACATAAACTCTCACTGTGTTGACTTTTCTTCCAGAGTCTAAAAGTGACTGAAGAAAACATAAAACAGAATCAAGGTCACAATTCATGGGGTCCAAGCTCTTGTCCTGACACCAGTTAGAGAACACACGCCACTTGCTCGAGTAGTTATCCCAAGTGGAAGGTGCTTTAGCATTTTTTATGGTTTTCTTTACTGCCTGCTCCAGCTGACAAGAGAGGGGCTGAGTAGGGGCCAAACCCAGAGTTGAAACGTGTCTGGATTCGGGTGCTAGATCTGACCCTCTACTTGAGAGAGAAGGTCTGTTCTCATTGGCAGTTTCCATGGATGGCCCTGTACCAGACGTAGGAGAAGTGGAAACCAATGTCTCTTTGGCCATTTCGGGGCGATTAGTAAGACCCTGCAATGTCCCTGATCCACTCGTTTGAGCACATGAGGAATCAATGGTAGGGGAGGAAAAGCATATAATATACCTCCCGGCCACTCGTGAGACAGTGCATCCAGTCCCAAAGGCCCACCTTGGCCATTCAGAGAGAACCACATCTTGCAGTGAGTTGTCTCGACTGATGCAAATAGGTCGGTGTGGGCTTTTCCGTAACGGGCCCATATCAGATTCACCACCTCCGGGTGTAATCGCCATTCCCCCGGGAGAGGTCCTGATCGAGAAAGGAGATCGGCTGCCCGGTTCATTACTCCGGGTAAGTAGATTGCCCTGAGGGATGCAAGCCTTGGGTAGACCCAAAACAGAAGTCTCCTGGCTTCTTGGAGACAGCGCAATGACCTGGTGCCTCCCTGATGATTGATGTGATAAACTGCCGACATATTGTCGGTCCTTACAAGGACATGCTTGTTCTGTAGGAATGGAATCAAATGTCTCAA